ATATTATCTTACTATTCTTAAGGCTAGTTTAGCTTGCTGCACACACGTGACGTGGTCCATGTGACATATGAAGACACTGGGTGGTCAGTCGCTGTCCGAGCCCACTGGATTGATCTTTTTCCTTTTCTTCGCTTGCTTTGGATTCACGATTTCTTCTTCCTGCAAGTGACAAGAAATATCGTTCATCATCAATTTTTCGATAACATATAATGTATGACACATAAAATCATATATAACATACATAAATATAAATTTTAAAAATTTACCTCGCTAGTAGAAGTACTATCAATATGATATCGCGGAAGTGGTCTCTTTACATTGGATCTTTCTCTCGTGTTAGCACCAGTTTTCCTGTGGCCGCCCTTCCCACTGCCCCCACCTGCTCCGGAAGAGGCAGTAGTGTGTTTTCTCGCGGAACTACTCGGTGGCGGTGGTTCGTTCTCCTCGTTGACTTCCGCAAGCGCAAAGAGATCGCCGTAGCTTTTCCTCAGCGAGTCGCTACTCGCCGCTTGAGCTTGCTGTAATGCTCTTTGCATCCCTTCCGAGTGATACAACTGCAGTTCCTCGGAGGACACACAGTGTTGGCGTAATTGGTCCAAATGGCCTAGAACCTGTTCGCCGGTAGGTGGACCGGATTGTTGATTTTGCTTGGCTCCAGAACGTTTCCGTTTGTTCGGACTGGTCGCAGGATATCGAGTGCTAAGTAAATTCGCGAGCAGCTCGCCGAGTTTCTCTTCGTAATGGCAACACCAGTAACGTAGCGTGGCCACAACAAACATATCGCCATCGACGCTTTGCCGGGCGAGTAGTTGTCGTAGAAGATCCAACGTTGGCCTATAACGCATTAATAGAATACAAAATGTACAAATTGTACATCGAATTGTTTTACAATAGGGTTCCCGACAATTAGCAATTATTTGACTCACTTTTCTTGCTTAAGCATAAGCAAGATTGAAGTAAGCGCCTCCGCGTGATTACGAAACTGTAATTTCGGCAAAACCGGCAGTACGTAATCGATGGGAAAATCGTGTGCGAATATGAGCTGCCAGAAACAGTACTGCTCGAATGTCTCCCAATTTAAGCTGGCTGTCAATAGCGTGGTAAACGATTCCTTTTTCAACATCTTTAGATGGCCTTGCATTATCTGACAAACTAGATCCTGCAACTGGCACGAGTCAACGGTAGACACAACCAAATGCAAGAGTTGAACATTTCCGAGGGCAACGTTTTGAAATTCTGTGTACACGTCAGGCACGAGGTAACATAACATGAATATATTATCCTCGTGACAAAGCTGCAACAAAAGCAAACAACGTGTTAAAACGTACCGCTTTGAGTATACATATGATACTTAATAGATATTTAATTAATTTTATTTATTTATATCTTTAATTTATTTATATATATATATATATATATATATATATATATATATATATATATATATATATGAAACTCGTACCTTTAAATCTGATACCAGACATGCGTCCAATTTTTTTTCTCGCTGCCCGCAGAAGTCCTTGTATACTGATGCTTTGACATCGTTCAGAACATTGCTGAAATAGAACAGTTCAAAGATTAAAGTACTTTTTCTTCTTTTTCTACTCTTTGTCTACTCAATATTTCATATTTTTCGTCTAACCTCGGTTCGCCTTCTCTTTTTTCCTCTTCTCTGCCCCAGACTTTCAGGAAGTAAAGAAGAAGATAACCTATCCTGGGTTGAACCGACTGCATTTCCGCTAGTACCCTGGCCAAAAGCTTCCGTCTGTTATCTTCTTCCTTGCACAGTTGAAATTGGTTTCGAAACATAACAAACAATGGCGTGCTTATACTATCGGCCAGTGCTTCCTCGTTCAGATTATCTGACGGAAAGATCTGCGCCGTGATCTGCGGCGATAAGATAGTTGATATGCAGGACGCTAACGGGGGTATCGTCTCCACATCTATCTCGTCCTCCACGACCATTTGTACTATCCTTTCCATCGCTTGGCACCTCGACTCATTATCGGTCTCCGTGTGTAATGTTTCTATGCTAGTTCTTAGCTCCTCCGGCTCCATTATAAGACGCAAATGTGACGTGATATCCTCTTTCTTCACGATGCAGTTTGCATTCTTTTGATCGTTTTTTAGTTTCACCGTAGACAACGGTACGTCCTCCTCGTCCTCTTCGTCGTCTACCTTCGTCACTATTCTAAAATGTAGATAAATTCGTAGTTAATTAAGCTTACGACTGAAATATTAAGTTTAACTTTTTTTGGTACGAAAAGTGGTCATAATTATTTGCCAGGTTCGTCATAATTAAAAAAAAAAAAAAAAAAAATGATTATATTCACATGCCGCGATTACAGTCGAGTCTTAAATCCTAACGTCTTTTGCTACTGTGACTTCTTAGCGGACATTTATTATTGATGAATCATAAGAAAAAGCAAACCGCTTCAGCTTATAATCCTTTATATCAAAAAGATTAATATATGCAATAAATAGGATAGCTAACCTGAGAGGAGACTCCTCTTCTTCGTCACTGAACGCTGGTTCTGGATCCTGTGCCACGTGGTTATTCTCCACGGTAGAATTCATGGTATTCTCTATTACAGTTCCTGGATTGTGCTCCTTGTTGAGCTCTTCCATTTTACCTGAATATTTCAGAACCTTATTACCTGCTTTAAGGACACGATGTAAAAAGTTAGTAAGCGATAAATGTGCTGAAAGCTGAAAGTGAATCGTCAGATTTGTCTCAGAAAAATTTTAAGTAAGGGGCATGGCGCCATATCATGCACTGGTCAACGCCAGTGCTTGCCAGAATTTAAGTAAAGTATCTAGATAAAATTATATAATCATCCAGATAAAGAAATGGAATCATTTTCATTTTATTTTCATCTCAGATGAGTTTGAAATCTAAGGCAAACACTGGTTAACAACGCTACATCACTACGTGTGAAAATAATTTTTGGATATTTAGTGTATTTTCAAGTGCAATTTCTCAATACAATTTTTTTAGTACCCTTCCCACTTTCCAGATTCTAACTTATCGCACTAGTTCAGAAGTGCAGCGAAAACGGACA